ACCTAATTTGGGCATCGAAACTTATAACAAACCGCAATTCCATCGTCGCTATACAATAACAAGATTGTAGAGGGACTTGTTCAAGGTAAAACACATACCATTTTCGCCGCATTGCTTGGTGTCAGAAAGCTGATAGGAAGAATTAAGCCTGCTGTAGACAGGCGGATGAACCTGGCACGAGCGATTTCGTATTTGGATGCCCCCCTGACATGCACTCCACTCGCCCCAGTCCCCTGGAATGTATTCGCTAAGGTTTCCATCTGCAACCAACAAGGTAGAAGAATTAGCCTCTAAATTCTTAAGCATTCTTTTCTCCTAGGTGACATGACTTGCATGGAAACAGTTGTGCGAGCTCGTGATGATTAAGGAAACTATATCGATTGCCTTAACTTATGACTATCAGATTAATTAAATGAATCATTGCACTGATTGACTGACTGATTGACCGACTGACTGGCTGACTGACTGACTGACCGTCTGATTGACTGACTGACCGACTGACTGGCTAACTGACTGACTGACTTTTTAACTGACTGATTGACTGACTGACTGACTAACTAATTCACTGATCAACTGACGGATTGACTGACTGGCTGACTAACTGACTGATTAACTGACTTACTGACTGGCGGACTGACTGACAAGCTAACTAACTGACTTGTTAAACGATTGTCTGACGGACTCACCAACTCGCTCGCTAACAGTCTGACTGCATGCCTATCAGTCTGAATGATCGGCCACGCGTCCTCTCACGTGCCCATCTGTCTTACTGTCTAAATGGTGTCATAAATGATTGACAAACGCTCTTACCTTTCCTGTAGGCTACAAAATACTCATGAGGAATCGGACTGAGTAGGGTTCCGTTTGGCTTAGTGACAGACAGCGAAACATTTTTGCTAGCGTTTGAGACAACGTGAAGCACCGTCACATAATAAAAAGATCCTGCGGTCATGTTCATGCCCTTTGATCTAAGAAAAAAATATGTTTATGAATTATTTAAAGGAGCGAGATGTATTTCATCACAAATTGTGGTCAGATTCCTCCACGGGAGAAAAGAACGCTCATAAATTTGCCTCCCCGAAAGTGTGGCTTTGTTGCTCAGTCGGTAGTAGCACCCGAATAGTATCTGCGAGGCACAGGTTCGAATCCGGTTAAAACCTAATTTTTGTTCAAGCTTCTTTTCTACCGCTGACTTATGAGGATCATTGCTTTGCTTGACAATCCACTGCATGATTTTTCACGTATGTCATATAGACGCATGCAGGCATGTAGTTTCCTATCTCTTAATTGCTTAGTTTCTGATTTCTTGCCTAGAAATTTGATGCTACCCACGACTGACCAGTTTGGAATTTTTCCTTCCTTTTCTTTTTTTTTTTCTTGAAAGAAAGAAACACGTTATTTTTCTCTCGATTCTCGATTCTGATGATGACCTCCGCTCAGGTTGTCGAAACGTCTGTCAGTCACCACAGCCCTTCTCAGGACTATCCTCGCCCAGACGATCAGATTACAAGATTAAATACTGTTTTCAATCATTATTGCATTATCCTTGATCCTTAACAAGTATAGTTACGTTTTTATGATTATCCGTCTAAACGTATAATCAATCAAAGAACTCATTTAACAAAATTGTGGGTAAGCATCATCGACGTAGTTTGTTTAGATGGTAAAAACTTACGAGTTTTGACATCTTGTCAATAAGCTCCCCATCTTACTCTCGATCAGAAGCACGCATGCGCCGTCGCAGGACAGATGAAATTGGTACATTCCACTTTCGGGTGCGGCGAAATAGGCACGAAGCCGCTGACCATATTGTGGCTCGGGTAGAAACGTTTGATTCGAGACTCGATTGGGAGAGTCAGGAAAATCCTTATTTTCCAATAACGAGCTCAAGTTGTTTCCATGTATATTATCCAGCCATACTTCTTGTAAAATACCTTTGATGTCTGGAATCAAAAGCGTTTTTTAATTACTATTATTACATTGGATGCTCCATTGAGAGGATCATGACTCTCTCTTGATAAACCTTATACGATTCTAGTTTCTACAGTCTCCTTTCTGGAAGACAATGCATTGACATCAAAAGGAAGAAAAATATGATTCTGTAGAGAAGTGTTAATTTGCTTGTGTGTTTATCCATAGGTGCCTTACACATTCGGTATCATCAATGTCTATCCGCGTCGTTAGGGAAGTGCCTCAGGGTACTCTTATACACAAGTCTTTTCTCATCATCTTTTGGGAAGATAATGTATCGATGTGGTAACTAGAAATGACACATTAACCACTATTGGGAATTAAATGGTTGATATCTGCTTGAAGAATATTACATGAAATATTTGAAGAAGTAACCGAGGTATAATCGGGAAGGACAAACACGGGAACTACGTTCGTTACAAAAAGGTGTTGTTAAAACTTCTCGGCAGACACTTCTAACATCAAGGTCGCCCCGGATAAACCAATATTAAACGACATTAAGCAAAATAACTTTACAGCATTAAGAAAAGGTTTTCCTGTTTAGTTATAGAAAACATCAAATTCTATATCCAAGAGAAGATGAATCATTTTTTTAGTCGCCTTTATTTGAGCAAAATAATTTTTAGCAGAGTAGAAATACCTGGTGGTAAACATGACAAATTATAGATGAAATTCTCCTCCGTTGCATTCTGTACAACTCCTTCACTGAATTTTCCAGCAACAATAATCTGTGAAAACAATACAATTCTTTTTTGTGCTGATATTCCATGATTCTCGGCTAGTTATATTCAGTATAGATAAACTATCTTCAAATTCATTCGAGGCGTTAATAATTACATGTTAGAGAAAAATAAATGACGTGGTTCAGCGAACAAAATAAGCTACGTATGTCTTAAGCATCTCTTATTCCAGAACGATTGTTCTTCAATAATAAAGCAGAGAAGCACACGCTTACCAGAGAAATGCAAGACCAAATTCTGAATCGTAACATGACGTCAGTTTTTGAACGTAGAGGGAAAAATAATACAAACTCTTTCTCAACACATTTCTTCCCCTGACGGCCTTTTCGGGAAACAGCTTTTTCTGAAGCGAAGGTTATTAGTTTAATTCCATGAATTTTTAATGCACAATAACCGGGGAGACTTAGCTTCGTTTCACTATTCATAACTCTTTGCCACATTCGTGAGAAATTCTGGAACAAATTAACGTATTATTCATCGGAGGCGCAAGGGAACCATACTGGAAACAAAAAAACATTTTTCCATTAAAGTTTGAAAAACGCATTTGTTTAGTCAAAACTCTGATTAAAATTTCATGACCGCTTTATTAATAATCAATGACTGAAGAAATTGAAATTGTTGGGTAGGCACTGATGGAAACTAAAAATTATTGAGTAGTGAGTAGAAAATGACAGCGATTGCAATTCTAGTTAAAAGTGTAATGCATGTAAACTCGCACTTGAAAGAGTCGTTTTTTACCGCTCAAGAAAGTTGACGAACTTCTTATGAAAATACCCTTTGTGTAAACAAAAACGTTACAGCATGAGATTGAAAATTTGAAAGACATACTTTGTGAATTTAAAATGTCAACTCCCTAATTCTGTTTACATCACTATTGCTTGCCGGTGAGTAACATTGCAACTGATGTTGTCTCAAATTTTGTCTAAACTAGGGTAATGAACTCGATGAAGCTTATTTATAATTCTCAATAGGAAATAACTTTCATTTAATACAGCACATCTTGAGAATTTCAGCCGAAACCCCCAGCTCTTCGTCTTTGTTAATTGAAAAGAAAAACCAAAACAAAAATCGTGATACGATTGGTTAGAGAAAAACAAAGCTTTCACCCTCTCCCTTTGAAAAGTTACAACTACTACTGTGCAATAAGTAAATTTTTTCAGAAAAACGTTTTCTTTGAAAATCTTCACAAAGACTGTGGCCATAAACATTGAATTTGTTTTCACATTATTAACATACTATTAAGTATAAAAGGAGGGAGAATATAGAATGTAACTGCCAAATTTTAAGGACTAGCTTAAAATACGTATACGATGGAAAACTACTTTTCTATTGACAAAGGTTTGAATAACAGGAATTTTTTTCATTTTTGCGCTAATGTTTAAAATTCTTCTTTTTAAAGCTCATCTGTGCAAATACAATCTGTACAAATATCAAAGTAAATCTTCACATCAGGTTAACAGAGATAACTCTACCAGCTACTGGCTTTGTGCCGAGATTTGAGTTTTCAATACTGTGTCATCTAAATTTTTGCTCTTTGATGCTTTAATAAAATCGACAAAATTAACGATGTAGAAACGTGCAAACATAACGCAGGACCAACACTATAACTTGGCAACAGCCGCCAGACCGCAGATTATACAACCAATACAGGTTGTAGAGAAACAGAACTACAGTGATTTGATCCTCAAAACTGTAATTCCCGAAGACAAAAGCTGCTTAGCTTTTGATGACAGTGAGTAGCTTTAGTCTCAGCAATTCTTCGCCTATCTCTCTAACTACAATCTCCTCAAGTAGTTTTAAGAAATAAAAGAAATTTAATAAGAATTGTGCTTACAAGTGGCATTAAATTGCGCTTCTTAAGATCCTTGGAAGCATGAAGAGAGATACGTTTCTGAGGGGTTATTGAGAGGGATCAGAAAACTGATCACGAGATCGGAATGATCAATGTTTCCACTTGTAACTCTGCCTAATTATGGTCACTAAGTAAACAATGACATCATGTGCCTGTTTTTCAAAATTTTGGCTAAGATATCAATTGAGGTATCTTATAAGCGATAAATATTCGTGAAAACGAAGAATAGGTACCTCCGGAAAGAGTTGCATCGTAAGTCCTACTCTGTCTGATGTATAATAAAGTGCAGTGTCTGGTTTCGGTGGCTAGCATTTTGTTTTTATTCTCCTGTTGATTTGGCCTTGAATAGAGAGATTAATCAGTAAAACCACCTGAGAAAGTCGGAAACGGCGGTGTCAAGTCTTGAGAAATAACAAGGAAGTTGATTTTGAAAGAATTAAAGAACGCGATTTGGGGAATTTCGGGCCGTGGTTATGGAGTCCTTTCATACATGGAGTCCGAAACTTATCAACAAGAAAAGCTAATGTTTTTATTACATTTTGTTTACCATCACATGTCAGGCTATCTACTTGACTGACTGTCTATCAGGGAATGGATAGAGAGGGGTGTAGCCAATCAAATTATAGCATATGTGATAAAACACTAACAGTTTAAGCTAATATAGCTCGGTGTATCACATCGAAACGATTCCCGTCGATGATGGAAGCCTCCCCTCCCCCTCAACGAGGACCATTTTTGTTATTTTAAAGTTTGTTCCTGTACATAGTATATTGAGAACATCCCACGCAAGCTCTATGACATTGCGCAAAAGGAAATCAATGTAACCCGATCACCTGTGTTTGGATGCATAAACCGACTCTCCAATTGTGTTGTAAACGGTCTAAGTTAGCCCTTTTGTTGATTGTCAGTTCGAGACTGAAGTTGATTTCTTTAAATAGCTCGTATCCTTATAGGTTTGGGATTAGTTAAATTCCCATTATGAAAACTGCTTAATGGTGGTTTTGTTTCATTTTTATGATTATGCAGATGTTACACTGAATTCTGTCAACTTATCAGAAAGCATTTGGGTTGAAGTCAGTGGGGGAATTTTAATTCAGATCTCAGAGATTCCTAGCGATTGAAAGTATGACGCGCATTCCATTACCTCCATTCTTATCTGCAGACAACTGATCAGACATTTAATGTTATCAACTCAGTTGATAACGTAAATTAGCCACCGTAAAGAGTTTAAAAGCCGACGAAGGGCTAACGCTCGAAACTTTACTGAATACTAAATTACCCTGTTATACTCTCCCACCGACGCAGCACAACAGTTTCTTTTATTGATCAGAACTTTGATGGTTTACTCTAGAACTTACTCATAACTTTATCCTTGTGTGATTTCTTTTGCTGATTCATCCTCGACCTTTGAACATCTGAGGATCTTACCTACATCGACGAATTAAATTGAAATGTTTCCTTTTAATGCAATTACAAAATTTCTCCAAAACATCATGACCTTTGACAGCACACACGGACAAAATGAATCAAGATCGGCCCAGGGAACCGGCTCTAACAGAATTACCCTGACTGTATCTCTAAGATTTTCGTAATCAGGATGAAATAAACAGTCTCTTTTCCTGAGCAAGAGCTTTTCTTGCCAAAATCTCTTGACCAAAATAAGGGATTAAACCTCAAAGGAAACTGGTTTGGCAGTTTTCCATGGACTTTTTCTGTATTTCACATAATTTCTATATAAAAATACTACGTACTAAACCGAAACGGTTACTAACCTTTTTTTCCTTACATTATAAATTAACTATACACATTTTCTCTACCCTGCAAAAATATGTACCACATGCGTTATGTTTGTTTTCTGCTGTCATATGAAAAATTACCTATCGCCCCATAATTCGGGCGGCATTAGAGTCCATTACAGCTTGAGGCTAAGAAATAGTTGTTTTCTCCAGCTGTCGTTGCAATTCATTGTCGTTCTTCAACAAGGTTATGGTATTTGAGTCGATTTAAAAATGATTAAAACAGCCAATGGTTATTCAGCTGAGAACACTTCGATGAAAATAGTAATTTTCACGTCTAGCTGCTACACTATTCCGGGAAAATTGGTAAGGAGAAGTTATGCTGACTCATATGTTCCATCTCCTGTTTTTTTAATAAGTGAGTTCTAACTTCGGGAGAAGAAGATAAATGTTTAAGATCACCGCTGTGTGAATAAAACCAGGATACGTATTCGATGACGTGAGAGACATCAAAGAATACTTAGTAGACTTAATCAGGGTACAGACTTTAGTGTATTGCAATTTTGCATCGTTTTTCAATTGTACTTATTTCAATTACTCCGCTGGTCCTTTGTACTGATTGATGGGTGATCCAAACAAACAAGAAACTTAAACCCGTCAATCAGCTTATTAAAAGCTTAGGAATGGCTGCGTATCGTGTTCAGTTCCTAAATGGTAAAGATTCATGTGTATTGGGATGATGCAGTTATATTTATAGAGGGTGAACGTAAACATTTTTCCAAATGTTCTATCTCCCGAAGAACAAGGAATATTTTACTCGGAATTTTTGGTCTCTTTGCGGATGGTTATTAAGCTCAAAAAGAAGTTTAATTTAAGGTCAATTAGTTCCTGTGAATTATGTCAAGCTATCTTCGGTATTGAATGAATCAAGCACGAACGAAAGATAAAATCCAATCAAATGCTTTAGGTTAAGAAGTTTACATTATTTTCATCTGCTACGGATAAATTGTTTGTACAACTACACATATAACAGCTACAATCTGTGCACACATCACAAGTAGAAACTAAATATAACATTCCACCACTATTTACAGCCACTTCAGATGAGAGAACCTTGCGAGGCTAAGTAGCCAGTCTTTCATCTGTTTTCATACTTCGATAAACTTGTAGTCAAAGTACTTTGAAATTCTATTAAGGAAGGCGTAGAGTCCTTTCCTCAGCTCTGAGCTCATCATGTACACAGCGACGGGGTTAAATGCACTGTTACTAAAAAATAAGGAGATACCGAGGGTGTATAACAGATCGACTGCTTTTGTTGTCGGATCGATGCCTCCAAAATCTATTGCCAGGGCAAGTAGAGTTAAAGGAAGCATACAAATCCAGAATACAACGACAATGAGTAGAAGCATTTTGATTAATTCTGCGTTCTTCTCTAAACGGAATTGGTCATGACGGAAGGTAACGGTTGCGCCGCTCAAGGAGTTTGCTCTCGCCCTGATCCGCGCGCTTTGTCTTTTCATTGCAGACACGATTGCTGCATAGCCTCCGGCTGTTATGAAGAGGGGCACGATGATAAGTGTGGCAATAAAACAAGTGTGTATTCGCCGCTGAAGATCTCCCGACCACTTAGGTCCGCATCTGAGATGGTTTTGACTCTCTTGCACATCCATAAGAAACGACATTGGAAAACCAACAGTAAGATATGACACAAACCATACGATAATGATGATCACTTTGGCCTTCCGTTGCGTTAGATGTGGTTTAAAAGGTCTGCAGATCGCCCGAAACCTCTCAATTGTGATAACAGTTAGAGTCAGTATGGACACACAAAAGAACACTTCGTTCAACGGGGCGAAAATCTGGCAGGTTAGCTTGTCGAAGGGCCAACCTACATAATCCTTGATGAACTCAGCTGGGAGAGAGATCAGCAGAATCCCTAAGTCGCTGAAAGCTAAGTTCACAATGAACAAGTTTGTTGTGGAACACATGTCCTTACGGCACCACACTGTTAAAATGATGTACACATTCCCTGTGATGCCAAGAATAAGGACGAATGAATACCACGCACATTGGATCGCCAAAAAGGTGTAGTTGATGGGATTTTCTGAATTTTCAGATGAACCATCGTCCATTATACCAGAGCCCATATCCTCCGTTAGTTCGCCCTCCATTTCTCAGGGTCTTCCTAAGACTGAGTCCGACGTGCAGTTTAACAAGTAATGTTAATTTGGCTCCGGTTGTTTGGTTTTACTCCACCGGAAAGAGACCAGACCCCTTGACAAATGACACAAATGGCAAAGCTTACCACGTCGGCCAAGAACACAGAGAGGCAAACCCTGTTTGTTCTTGGATCGTTTGAATTTCACAGGATTATAATCAAATCTGTCGCGAGGCTGCGGCACGAAGATGCCGAGGTGTAGAAAACACCACAGGTCATTAGTAACTTCAAATGAACCACACAGCCTTGTGACGCCCTATTTATAGTCCTCATAGGTTAAAAACGAAGCGAAAAGGAAGTATTCAGAGATAAAAAAGCTTTCGGCTGTATGAGATTGAAAAGTTCCGTTATCGATAACCCCCGAAATCAAGTTGAGCTGATGTTAAGATTGCGCGAAACTTGATGATGTGCGCAACTGGACACCTAATGTGTGGAGTACTACTGATGATTGCTGACTCTGTGTTGACAGATATAAAACAAACCTGTAAATTCAATAATCGTCTTCCGATCGGAAACATTCTCAAACCACGCTTAAAATCTGTTCATTAGAAAGTGTCGGGAATCGCCATCGATTCTTTATTTGTTGTTATAAAAGACTGGGATAACTGATGAATATTTCGGCTTGGTTTGAGAAAAATTTTTACCAGGCGGGTTTTAACTTGGGTAATCCTATCCGGTGGAAAAAAACGCAAATACTTCACGATACCCAGACAGCTAACTCACAGTTCTCTCAAAATAAGTTCGAAAAGTTCACGAAAAGCACTAAGATGGAAGATTTAAAATACGCGAGTCACGTTTTCTTAAAGTAATTTCCGACGCATCTGGCTTGGGCAAGTGAACAGTGTTAAAATATTTCTAACGAATATAGTCCACAGTTCAAGTCTGTGGTGGTGTCATTTGAATTAATCAGTAATTTAGCAACGAAAATTACTTCACACTTGCAGTTAATGCATTCCGTAAAGCACAACAGTTGATTGAGCAATTTCTCGAAATTTCGTAGCTTTCTGCGGGAATAATTTCCTCAATAAATGAAATTAGAGTTTGGGTCAAGTTCTCCCCAATCAAATTTGCAAACTTTAGTCTACAAAAAATAAAAAACTAAAACTTACTATTGCATTTACCGTAAGTAGGTGATTTTGTCGTAGCATGACGTAATTGCTTCTCCTTCACACTGTTGAAAGATTCAAAATTGCCCTCGATATTTTGTATAAACGATTCTTCTGGAGAGGTCGGGGAATAACAAAGAGGAAGTCAAGATAGACTTTAGGTAGTAATATCTGTTCTCATGATAGTAATTCTTGTTCTCACTGAATGCATTTCACCCTTTATAGTTACATGACTCTGCATCATTTCGCACTAAATCAAAATGCGTCTGTGCGCTCTTACATCTAACTCCGCAAGATGGGTCCAAAGGTTTCATCGCGCAGATACCAGTGCCGAATGAAAGAGAGGGTTATTATGGGGGCCGAAAACTACATCTTTTAAATAGAAGCTGCAGACGATCAGGTCAAACAAGAGATTTTATCACTTCCTGGCACATAATGGAAGTTTTAAGTCGAATTTATGGCTTGTACTGCATGTTTTCGTCTTAGTAATTTTCGAATCAGTCGTGGTCTGCCAATACTGTTGGAGAACAGTCGATGGTTGGGTGGAGAGAAGCAGAGAGAAAAACAGAGATATTCAGGTATTTTGTGCAATGACACAATTTAACAAAAGCGATGATGATATCAACTTTAACAAATTGCGTTTGTCAGTTATGGGCCCACAGGCTCTAATGTCGTGTTTCCATCTCTTATTTTTTTTCCGTTCTCCATGCCCATTTATAATTTCTACCCCAGTATTAACCATATTTTACTTTATCACTCTACTTGAAACCTAACAAAAAAAATCAGTAATTTAGCTGAAAACGTTAGCGCCTGAGACGGACACAGAGAAAGTAATTTTTGACTTTCAACTGACAATGGAGTGTTCTAAGCTGCCTTCTCGAATTGTCCGTTTCATTGTGAACCCGCTGATTGTGATAACATCTCTTGAATGATTGAGGAGGTAATTAGCCACTTTGTCGACAGCACCCTCTGATCACTCTCTACGAATGTTTTTATTGTAGTTACAGCTTCCTCATAATCATTTAGCTTTTCACCGTCGTAAAGTAAATTCCTCTAACAAAATTTGAGGAAACTAGTGTGGACACTTGCCAAAAAGATGAAAAACTTTTCAAAAATGCGCAAAATACGTGTCATTTCCAATGTGCAGCGGGGGCCCAGATGACATTTATTTACATCGTTGAATGATATAACGATTGCTCCTGATATTATCTTCTGACTAAATTGAGCGCTAATGTCAACTATTTCGAATACGTAAGCATGCTCTGCATAGCTGCATGTTTTCTCTTTCTTAGGCGCTCGATAATCGTGAAATCATAAACTGATTCCTGACCGTGGGAACTTTATCATCCCTTCAAGTTCCACTCAAGATATGAAGGCTTACTCTCCCAATTGATGACCTCATATTTGTCTAAAGTTTAATCATGAGAATATGGTGCTTGATCAAGATAAAATCGCGGAGTCGATATTCTTTTTGTAAGCTTGTAAAAGTCGTTAAGATAAGTTGTCTTTAAATCACATCTGCCAGAGGCCTAAGAGTTAGTTCGCTAGAGGTATAACGGAACACGGTTGTTACTCAGTCGTTCTGTTGTCCGTAAATAAAACTGAAAAACTTCAGCCGTGATCTTGCAGAGGTTAACCTTTAGTTAAATTAAACAAATTCAGTACTTTATTGAGTACGCGACAGGGTTACGATGTGATTTATTATGAAACCTTTATCTGCAATTTAAGGATTTTTAGCTACAACAGCGCAACCAAACAATATTCTAGTCTCAACTTTGGATTTCTATTGTCAAAACAAATTGTCTTTCATCTTGAAACCGAAAACAGAAATATTCCAACCCTTCTCAAATGCGTTCCGTGATAAAAATAATCATTATTTTTGTCCAATTGTTTGTTTTGGAGTACATTTTCAAAGGACGGAAGCGAGTTCAATACACAGGAATGAAATAAAGTAAACAGTGGGTATAATCTGTGTAAATCTCTATTCCAGACAAGAGGATAAACAACCAATAGTCTGTGGGCAAAGTACGAAAACCTTCGTAAATTTTGGAACAGGGAACGGAACCAAGGAACGGAACCATTTTCTTGGCGGTTTCTCTTTTCTGTCTGAAAGGTGGCATCGTCACCTTACCTCAAGCTTACTCATAGAGAAAATCTCCGTAAGATTGGGATAGAATTCGAAATGGTTACTGCATAGAAAAAAATATAAAAACCACGGAGGAACATTTCGCTAATGTTATGATTGTATGTGAGAACTCAACTCTCTTCTACAAAAACGACGCTACACTCTTCTTTTGGAGGTTATTTTTGAAGAACACACTTTGTAAGAATGTACCGAAAGTCAAGAGAGAGCGTCTAATTTTATATTTTGCTTATATTTTTGGAATCAGTACTGCTAAGATTACCTTGAGTTAGCTGGCATGACATTTTTTATGATCAAATCCACAAAAAAATTGTTTTAAAAATGTGAACGTCAACAGGGTATTCAATCTCACGATTTACAATATCTAACCGTTAGAAACAGTTCTACAGGTGTTATGATATGATGGAGTTTAGATATACCAGACTACTGCTTTAGTTGAAATAGTTATGTTTCCTTTCCCCTCTGGCAGCATCAGAAGAGTAACGAAGGGCGTTCAATTAGTACTAATCCATTTACTTTTAGGTCGTTTTCGAAAAAAGGAACAAACAGGCAAACAAACTCTTGGTATAGAAGAAATTTCTAAACTACTTTTAAGGTCTTTAATCTCAAAGCGAGCCTTGTAAGAAAAAAACTTTGAAAGGATACTGACAGAATCTGACCCTTAAAGACTCACACGACAAGACTCAGGAATGTCTCGTTTGTCCAAACGAACTGAATATTCAGCTGTAGAAGATTACGATAAAAAGTAACGTTCTCATTGACCCAGTAGTTGGTAAATTCAGTGAGTTTGTAGAGATCATTTTGAATGGCAAAAGCACAGGAGTTTTTTTCTGTTGGACACATATCATGTCACACCCACAAATGATTCGCCCCTTGTGAAGCCGACAAAGGATCTTGCATGAACTTAAACACAAGGTTTACACGCCAGCTACAATATTTCTGAGCTTTCGATTTGGAGTCTGCAGCACATATATTTACCACCTCTTACAAGCATCACAATCTGGTTCTCCGTAAGTGATTATGTATTATTAAACGCTCTAAACTGGTGACTTTCTCCCCGTTACGTCACCATCATTTACAATGTACCTTGTAGGTGTGCTTTATGCGTGCAGCAATTCGAAACAAGAAATGTTTTTCATTTCACCGGTTGTCTTGTGTCAGCCAGAAAATTTTCAAGTCAAACATATGCTTATCAGTAACTATCTGCGTATTGATTCAGGTGCATAATTTACGACAAATCATTCAGGCAATCTTTTCATGGCTGGTCAGGTCATAACTTATCATACTGACTGATTTCCGTTTCGTGCACGTAGAATACCGACGCTTCGTTACGAGCATGCAAGCAACTTTCGTTTGGTTCTAATCCAGATCAACAGCCACTCCCTTAAAAAGACGCTACCCTAAGACACGTTTGGCAAACGAAAGACAGTCATTATGATACTGAAACAGTTATAGCAATAGAAAAATATTGTAAATTATAATGTAATATCCGAGCTTTTACTAATTTCCTTTTCGACCTATTTCTTGACAGGAACACTGAATCCAATGTAGCTTAGGCAGTTAGCTTAGATATTTTTGTTAGCTGTCTCAGTTTTAATTACTGACCTACCTTAGACTAGCAATGGCTAATTGTGGGTCAGCCAAAGTAAAATCGATAGTCTGAAAATTGAAGAAGAGTTTAAGAATAAATGTAAGTGAACATGTGCAACAAAACATGTAGATGTAACTTCTTTAATTTATACTTTTTCACATTTTTGTCTCGTTGGTGCCAGACTTTGTAAAAAAAATATACGCGATATCTTCCAGTCCAATAATCATTCTAATTGGAAAGTATACAACAGACACATCGTCTCTGTCAATTTATTAAGAACACTGTTGACAAATGCACATGTACAAAGTTTTTTGTGACTGTGTGAATCTATATCTCAAGCAAAAAGCTACAGTGAAATTCCGCTTCCTTAAACCTCTGAGGAAAAAGGAACTTGGTTTTAATTATCAGAGGGTTCAAAAAATTGGAATAAGATACCAGCGTTTGATCAGGGAAGGGTACCAAAGTAGGATCTAAAAGTTATGCCTTGTTGGCGAAGTGTACAAAAGATCTTTCTTGAAGAACAATTTTCTCATAGACAAAAATAAGACAGATGGTAATTTTCTCATAGTTAGAACTTGTAATACATGTCTGATGTGTAACCAGCAGCTTTCAAATATTTTATCATGTCCTTGTCAAACGACTTGGTTCCACAGATTAACACGTGAACATCACGTGACGGCTGAGGCATCTCACGTGACACAAGCTCCTGATCGATCCTGCCGTATGACATGTGATCTCTGTACTTGACTTTTGATTGGCCAGCTTTACTTTCCTACAAAGGCAATGTCCACATTTAAAAGAAGAGCTTCACACAGCCTTAAACTTGAGGGACACTGCAAAAATTAGGCAACTATTTTACAACAGGGACTTTGGAATAACAGAAAAAAAATCACATTGCTGCAATTTGATAGCAGACAGTTACATACTGTGAGTCTAGAATCCCATGGGCAATCAGTCATTCAATTCATCTTTCTTTGCCCATAAAAATAACAGTGGGATTGCAAAAAAATAACAACTACTGGTATTGTTACCCATCCTGGATGGAAAGCAAGTCCATGGCTGGTTACCTGTCAAAAATTCATCAGCTTTCCATAACAGTTTGCAGTTACCCATTTATACCCCTGGTTGGAGAGGGGCACTGTGAGGGTAAAGTACACTGCTCAAGAGCAACACACAATGACAAAGCCTGAGCAAAACCCAGGGCCCAGTTGTTTGAAGGCTAATTAATGCTAATCCAGGGTTAAATTTCAATCCAGGTTTCTTTATCTTTTTATGCAAGAGCCTTTTCAGATAATTTTTTCTAATCTTTTTAGAGCATTCAATCATCAAATTGTTGACAAAAAGAATTAAAATTAATTTTCTTTTAAAGCTTTCAGATGTGAAATCAAATTTCACACTAGTATTGGGTTGTCTTAGCCTAGCTTTGAACAACCTGGCCCAGACCTCTTTAAGAGTCTTGCATACCAACTAAAAGGCCACCATGATACCTTTTGGGCTTAATCTAAGAGCACATTCAATAACAATGGAGCAAACAGGAAGACTTCACCCTTTGACCAGTAAGAACAACTTGCATTAAATTTCTCCATACAATATCACATGTGAACCAAGGTCACTAGAATAAAGAACATGATTACCAAATACAGAAGCTTTTGATTGTTAAACAAATTCTCCTATTCAGCACCTTAGGAAATGTATAGAGAACAGTATGGAGAATATGTAAACTGATGTTAGGGTGTAAAGGGTTTAGATAGCATTGTATTACCTTCAATAACTAACCTGGCTTAGAACATAGAGTACTGAAAAATTCCAGTAAGCTTTACATTCATCCAGTGTGTCTTTCATTAAAATGTCATCATATGTTCGGCTTGAGTAAACCAATTGGATAAATGTTTCGTCATCCTCATTTGTAACTATGTCTTGAATCACTTGCAGCATTGGGGCAATCCCTGTTCCTGCCGCTAACATACCAATCCTACGATACTGAAAACATACAGTACTGTAAAATGGGAGAAACACTTTTTTGTTTTTGCCACTATATAAGATCTGTAACAGTATTTTAGATCTACATGTATCCAAGGTTCCTCTAGATTCTTTCCCATACCTTCCTTATAGAAACACATATGCTGTTTGCCACATTCAAAATACCTGATTTGGTGAGTAAGAAAATTTTCCAAAAGGTCCACGCCATTCAATCATGTCACCAACTTGCCAAATTTTTATATTTTGAGACATTTTTCCATTCAAATAAACCTGTACAATAAAAATTGGTAAGGATTAACAGTTTGAATTAATTGCTTATTTTCTTGAAAGAGTACGTGCTATTTACATTTGAATCTAGACTTTTACCATCTCAATTTTCCACTAAGAAATAAATCTTTGTCTTATTTAACTTTGCATTAAAGGCCTTATTTGACAGATTCCCACAAAATACAAATTTATTAATGAGATTCATCATTCAGATAAAACTATTAAATAGTTTTGCATAATTAGAGAGGGAATCAGAACAGTATACTCCGAGAAATACCTTGATGAGTATATCAAAGAACCCACGGCCGTCTACTGGGCTAATAGGTGTGTACTGTCTAGTGATACGCCTGCCATCAAATTTGCCCCTACAAAAACAATTGCATAATTCCTGTTAGAAAAAAATTTAATTCAAATGCAAATAATATTTAAAAAGCAGATTGCCGATAACTAGACTCTCACTAATCCTCTCTCAAGAGAGGGGATTCCCTTTTCATTGATTTTCACAATGTTGTACAACTCAGACAATTCATTCCATGCTCTCCAACAGTTAAAAGCGCAGAATAGTATATCAAACTAACATATAAAATTTGAGTGCAAAAACAATTGCTTAAATAACAAAAGAAAAAGGCTTTTGTTCAATCATTAGCTTAATCAACAATTCCTGCGATTTAGAATGCAATTTAAATAGCAACTTTCAAATAAATTTGTTATAAAAACACTCTTCACTAGAACTGTGATGTATACAAGAATCACAGTTAGAAGGTCTTAGTGTTCTCAGTCTTGGGGATGAAAACTTACTCTTACTCTTTTACCAATTGATAAAAATTGTTATAGCAAAAAAAAAAAATTAAATAATGTGCCTTAGAGAACTTCAATTAACATTGGTAGAATTTGATATAAATTTGATTGTACAATCAGTCAAATCAAATATAATGATATGTACCAATGATTAGTTGAAAAATCAGTATCCCTTTTAACCTTCTAACTCCCACGAGTGATCAAGACAGAATTTCTCCTTACAATATCTAGCAGAAAAGTGATGAGATAACAGGAAAATATCAATTAGAGGATTGTTAGTTGTTCCAATACCAAATTCTCAGAACTAATATTATAAGAGTTGTATGGCAGACAGTAAGGTGAATTGCTAATGAGATCTTGGGAGTGAAAGGGTTAGTCAATTAGCTACACCAGGCATTAAGTAAAAAACCCACCATCTCCCAGCCGAGCCAAAACATTTCAAATAGATATACCAATGGAATTATCTCTGTCATGTTTACATCTCACCTCATTATTAAGTGCTGTCCTACTTTGATCCCTAGCTTCCTATTTCCTGGGATCTTAAATCTGTATATACATGAATCATCTGTCACCCTAGTGATGGACTCAAGTTCAAAACCTTGAAACTCTGAAGTACTGAGTACTTGCTCAAAACTTCCACTGGGTAAATCCTCCAGGATACTTTTTCCACTTTTTATTCTGTCACATTCTAATCTCCATTTTGCCATTTCCTCGTCATAAATATCAAAGACACATGGTACACAACCAGTTCCACAGCAGTCACTATCAAGTGGTTTTTCTGGAGGCTCTGGAAAATCAAGACTGCTATCTTCCACAAGATGCTCACCTGAATTCTCTCCACTTCCTGACATGGTAATTTCAAATGCCTTAGACAACTATAAATTTTCAAATGTATGACGAGATATTGTCTTATCCTATCATTTCAATGCGAAGCATCTCCCTACGGAATAGGTGTTTTCATAAACATCCCTTCCAAAGATACAATAAATCATCGCAAAGTGACGATTGTGTTTTCAAAGAGTTTTTGTTGTCTCATTTCATGCGATCAACTAGTAAGGTGCACTACAGAGAACGTCATATGAAAAGACAGAAGTGCACCGTAGTTAGTTATACTTAATGAACGGAACCAGACAAGGAACTGTGCATAAAACGATTCACCAAATACCAATGGTTGGTTACCTACACAGGTGAAAAGACAATTTCTTTTGCCAGAAGATGTTAAGCTGTATAAAGCACTTCAGTGCAGCCCACAATCAGCTGATGATCGACCAATAACGATAACAGAACATGACATTTCTCTTCGCCTTCCCACAGTTAGACGCTCGTGAACTCTTGTTTTACAAAGGACTAGCGAGGAGAGATTTCTGTATTTACTTTTTGGTGGAAAAGTTTCCCTAATGGTCTTGTTCGTCAGCTTTTTGTTTCGTGGACACAACCGAACTACGAGTGTTTGGAAAGTTCTTCGGTTCAACTCCCAACATTAATGATGTCCACCAAGAAAAACCTTCGGAGCGGGACACCTTTGATCTGCTTTCCTCGAAATCCCGCTTTCTTTTTGAGCTCAGTATGTTAGAGCTTTGATTTGCAGGTTTGTTTTCATCTGAATGCATTATTTATCAATACCACCTTTCTAGACCGCCATGTTAGAAACTGTCTAGTACTTAGCGCTCTCTCGGACAACATGAGGTCACAACGCATAATGAGAGTCTCGCTCCAATGATTATTATCATAGTCAATTATGAACAGTTCTCATCACCCCATCTAATAAATTTTGTAGGAAGGGAGGAGTACATATACCATGGTATGCGGCACTAAATGAACCTTGTGGAGGAGTGGTAACCCTTGAAGTAATTTTTGGTAAAACCCTTGATGCTCGAGGTCGACTTTTCGCAAGTGATATCACCAAAAGCATATTTGTAGAAATAATTTCTTGATACTAGTCTTTTCAAAGACCCTCCTTCATACTTAAAACATCGTCTAGATAGTGACCTCAATAAGAGCCATGAACGAAATAACAAATGCACTCATCCTCACTTCCCTAGCCAACCCTCCCCCCTGTGACAAAGGTTGTGTGGCTGGGAAACTAAAGATTGTACCACTAGAAAAATCAAATCTTAATTTGAGAATTCTCGTGTAGGACTTCAGTTTCACTGTATCTTGAGGTGTTTGTCTGGTAAAATGAATTATCAACCAATATGGAATTGCGCCAACCAGCCTTAACACCCTAAATACTTTAGTTTTAAGCTTTGTTTGGAAGGAACACGCGCCGTCGCCATCGAAAAAGGTCTAAAAAATATTCATATAACTGTGTTAACTTTCAGCTGATAAAACATGCTTCTAGACAAACTTACTATTTTTGACCGGTCTTTGTTTTACATTCGGAAAATGATAAATCTCCCAAGAAAGAAATTAAAATTGCTGCGTCGATACTTAATTAAATTTCACTATGAGCAAATTTATGGTCAGAACTGAATTAAAAACACTCCCTTGCAGCATCAAAATGTCAGTCAAATTGGTTACAAGACTACTCAGATAAATAATAAAAATTTCGCGCTTGGTAACTCAAATGATTTCTATCAAAACACTTTCCATGGGCGCAATTAAATTTACGTAATACTCAATAACGAGCATGCGTCTTTTTAATATAAACCCATATACAAATCCCGATTAAAATAAAGCCGAAACGAGATAATAAGGATTTTTTTTCTCTGTATCGATAGCTTCACGAGTATGGGCAATAAGATTAAATCTTTCAGCTCTGAACGGAAAAGACTGGTCACTTAAATTATTTTCATCGTAAATCTAAAATAAAATCCATTACTTTCCTTATATTGTCGATATAGTGTGAATGTGATGCACAATTGGAATAGATGAATTGTGCGTATGACTGATGTAAGGGAAATGTATAAGTCTTAATGAATGCGATTGAACTTTTGAATGCCATAGAGAAACGCTATCAACAGATCTCCGCAGATCGAGCGTCAGTTTTTCTGTATAAAAAAGTAACTCTTCGCGAGAAGTCCAGAGGGAAAATGAAGAGATTCTGGGTACGTGCTGCAATTCGCGAGCCTGACCTTTCAAAACATTTGCTAATTACCACAAAGCAGAACCTTTATGTGTTTCGAACAAACTAATATTATTTTTTAGCTTAGTCTGAGTAAACATTGTGTCCTCGTCAGTTCTATATGTACACACAGTGGATCACCCTATTAACATACATATTGAATTCAACGGTTAATAGTTTAGATGGGCTGGGCTGCCTGCAACCATGGCCGCATAGAGATTAAGAAAAAAATTAACGACAAGATGTACATAATTCGGTTATTTTTTTACAACATATAATCTACATTGCTTGAGGCAAAAGTGAAATAATGCGTTACCGTAAGGATATTAAAAAGAAACTTTTACGATTCTTTATCCACTGAAGTATATCTTTCCGTTGGTCATTTTGTCCAATAAAAAAAACGATTCTGTTTTGCATAAAAGAGTGTCAATAAAAGCCGCGTTTTCACCTTAGAAGGATCACAGAGATAGTAAAAATATTGAAAACTTACACAAGTGTAGAAATATTAAAAGATAAGTTGTCTCTTTTGTGATAAAGCACCTTCACTGAGTCTTGAAGTTACGAAGAGATGTCAATGAATTCGAGTCATTAGCACTTGATGTGATAAGAATCTTCCCTTAGCAGGAAAAAAAAAAGTTATTGCCACACGCTGGTTATTGAGAATTGTTCCACTTGTTACTCCCTTGAGCAAACTGATTGTATCTCGACGTCTCTTGTTATGGGAGATGTTTGAACTCTTCTGCCAGAAACACAGGTTCCGTATTCAGTTTTCGGAGTCCTAGATCCAGCTTCGTTAACATACCCCACCTTTATCGAGGAGGCGATATGGCGATTGAACATCTGACTTAACACTGGATTGATAACCCGAAAAACTGCCCGGCGTATTTCACGATTGCGCCAGCAGTAAATCATTGGGTTCAGAGCACTGTTCAAAAAAATCAAGTTTTCTGCCCATGGGTAGTAATTGTACAATAATTGAGGCGAGTCGCCTTTAATTGTGCGGATAAGTAAAATTGTCATCCCGGGTAGGTAACAAACCAACAACGCACCAAATATATACGCCATCGTTTTGGCAAGTTTAGTTTCGCGCGCTACACTCGGAGCGAGAGGATCATAGTTTTGTTGTTCGCTAACGATCCTTCGATGATGTCTTCTGGCCTCTCGGAAAATAAAGAAGTAGACAAAAGCCGTAATAGCATAGCATGAGCCAATGACAGCGAAACAAATCAGGTATACAATACGGTTTGGTATTCCAGCAAAACGCACACAGGTCAGTGTTACCCACGCTAGCCACACTCCACCAATTATGCTCAAAACGCGAGATTTTGTCACCAGTCGCATGTAGTTTAGTGGGGAAAATATTGCGACATATCTCTCACAGCTTATTAAAGTGAGGTTCAGAAAAGATGCACCCGTACAGAACAGTGCCATTGTCAAGTAAGCGATCCAAACACCACAGTCATCTATTCCTGATAGTGCCAGAGTTTGCCGCGTTATATACAGTGGTTCGACAATGGAGCCTACAAGTAAGTCAGTACATGATAGGCTGACAAGGAATAGATTCGCGTAAGTACGAAGTTCTCGCGTCCGCGCAAAGGCTACGATAAATAACGTATTGCATGACACAGCAGCCATCAAGCCCAGTGAGCTTATAATACAAGTAACGATGGCTGTGAGGCGTGCAGACATGGTGTGTGGGAACCGTATCAAGACCTGAAAACTGCAGTTAATAACGTCCATATCTTCAGTGGTTGTTGAAGAACTTAACGATGGCATTTCACTCCGACAAGTGTAGCAAAGGAACAGACCACCTCAATCAGTAGAGTGATGTCGTTCTCCGGCGACGCAGTGCATTGACCAATAATCAAACAGCAGAAAAATAAATAATGTGAAACTGTGCGCGGAAGCGAAATTGAGTGGGTCTTTAACTTGGAATCAACAACTTTTTACGCATCAAACCATCAAATGTTCCAATTTTGACTGTTCACTTGAAAACTTGAATAAATATGCGTGAATTATCTAACTACGCAATGTAATGCTGAATCGTTTAAGTCAGAATGATTTATAGGAGCGTATTCGGATATCAAACGCACCTGTCGCTTCTGTGGGCTGTGTGTGTGCGACAATGTTTATTTTTCATTAAATCAACATGAATGCATCTCCACAAAAAAGACCCACAACAAAGTTAATGACATCTTCATTGACAGTTCACTTGTGTTTCTTGAATCATAAGCTAGATTTTTTACTAGTACTCGTTTATAATTGCGTTATTACATGATGCCCTCAATGGATCGCTTGAAAAGAAAGAAAGTTTATGAATTTCCTACTATCCATTGAAAGGGCTAATATAACCATGGTACGGAAAGTGATATTTACCTCTAGTTTTTATTTAACTGAACAACATGCATAATTAATTGAAATAAAAAAAAGGAAAATAAAATCATTATTTGAAAAAGTTTTTTTCGAGAAGTTAAATAGCAATTGTTATGGTATAAGGCAGGGAATCGGATTGAAGTTGTCTTTTTGATATGAAATATTACACTGCTTCAAAAGAAATCCTTCAACGACAAATTACCTTTCTTAAATAGTGCAAATTTCAATATATTTTCTTTCATATTCATTTGTAAAGTTGTTTTTATTAAAATTAATGTTTTTCAGTGATAAACTTGATTAAAAAAAGACTGAGATAAGTTAGGACTTCTGTTTTTCAAATGTTTGTAGGAAAACACTTCTTGTCTTGAGCTTTTGTGGATCTCACCTATCTTATCAATGCCAAAATTTCCAATTCTCCTTTTCCATCTTTAACAAAAAAGTGTAGTTTCATTTGAAACGCAAAAAAAAAAAAAAATCCTGTCTTCCGTTGATGCGTCGCTTAATACAAACTCATCGGCACGGTCTTTTATCCAACGAACTACTTTCCAATTGAGAAATCAGATGACAACTTTTCCGCAACTGTCTATTTCATTTTTGTAATAAAGTTTCATGGGGAAAATATGATCATTTTTTGTGACACTCACAATTAAGATGAGCCTCACCTGGCTAAGAATGTTTATTCAGATTTTTAGCTGTTATTAAACAAGAGGGAAAATAGACATAATTAGTTTTTTTTTTTGGAATTGATATTACACATCTTGGAACACAAAATCGCACATCTAGCTCTATAAAACTTAAAAACTTCCGGGGTAATATTTACCAAGAATATACTATAAAGATCTTGATTACAAGAATAAGATGAACATCAGAGAGACTTCTGCCGCGAGTGCAAATTCTCATTTTTGATACCTAAAGGTTGAGTTTACCTCGCTTCTTAAAGCTTTTTCGTTATGTAGTTTAATAAATGAAACTTAATTAAGAGGTTTAAGGAAATTGAGATGACACCATCCGTCACAGACTGTCCATTCACAATACTTTATCAATTCCTTCTGCAAAGGGATTTTCAACTGAACGATAACAAGAGAAGTTAAAAATGTTCGAGAAAATTCAACGCAATTAACACGGTGTAAAGCCACTTTCTAAATTGTCATTTGTCAAAATCCTCTTTGACGCCGGTGAGAGTTTTAGAGAACGAGTGCTTGAGACACAATGTATCTCTAGACAAGCGGAAATCGGAATAAATCTTAAATCCTTTTAAACCGTAAGGGAGTAATTGCTTATTTGTGAGAACCAATTTCGCCGACAATTTACATACAGGAAACTAGAAAAGTTCAAAATTAAAAGAAGATAATGTTGGTCCTGGTTTGCCAAAACAACATTGTCCTCATGTAATATCGCAGAGATATAAAGCACCCTGATTGCTGGTATGAATTTCTTTATTACTTCAAACGTCGACAATAGTTTAAAAATAATTAATCATTTCAAGTGTAAACAATGACTTAGACGTTCGCGGTATTCTTTTGTTCAAGATGTGAATACCAATGAAATAAACGCTCTGAGTTAAAGTTCAGTTGGCGGCTTATATCAACCTGCACTGAAAAATAAAACCCCTGATACTTGCTAGATATCTGGTATAAACTGAGTCAGCAGTCTTTGCGTTTATCAGATGTTGCTACGCAACACGACGTAATGTTCAGTGTTTTCGCGAACGCTCAGAAAACCCTTTTGTAAGAAGAATGGAGCCTTCGGAAGCCTTCGCATGTTCTCATTGAGAGGATTTGCTCACGATCGACCCTCATGAGACAAGACCAGAAATCGTACGGAAGAAATAAGTACCAGAAAATATACAACAGTATAAAATACACTATTTACAACCAAGTATAACTACAGGACCTGTTAACAGACGAACGTGTATTCAACACAATTACAACCTGCACTAAACCTCAATAGGATCATCTGATTCTTCTCTGATGCCGAGCTCTTCTAGTAACTGCTTCTCCATTTGTAAATATTCCTGGTATTCCTGTGCAACGTTCGGGAAAATAAGAAAATTAATTGCGCACAAAGCGGTTTAAATCCAAAAAAAAGACTTAAGAAATCTAGAGCGTGCGATTCTAAACACTCTTGAGAACAAATCGAAACTGCTTTGTTGTCACATGACTCACCATTCTCTGTTTAGCCTCGATATCAGCGTCACTTTCCTCAGCTCGTTTGCCCTCCTGTGGGTTCAATAAAGGAAAAGTCTAAACCTTTTTGCAGTTGTGCACAATGCTCTACTTACTATGACGTCAGAAATGTAAGAGGGAATGAGAGAGTGTGTGTTCACGAACAAACAGGTCCGCAGCGCGTGCCTACATGTAGTAACCAAACGTTACTGGTTTATTAAAAGGTTACTTGGATTCCGAAGAAGCTATTAAATATAACAGAGACCTGCGTATGCCACGGCCTTGACAGCCGTACCTGTATGTCTGCAATTCGTTCCTTTTTTATTGCAGTTCTGCTAGATTAACCTTTCCACTCACATGAATGACCAAGACAATTTCTCCTTACAATATCCAAACAATATCAAGCAGAGAGTAATGAGAATATAGAATACCACGTATCAGTTAATCTGGTACCAAATTCTCGAAACGAACATTATGAATTGTATAGCAGACAGTAAGGAGAATTACTAATGAGATCTGGCATGTTTAACCTCTCCACCCTCTCAATGCTCATTCATTTTTGTTTCATCATTACTTTTTGTTTATGATATCATTACTTCTTTTGTATTTTTTTTACTTTTTCCGGCAGGTTATAACTAACCTGTTGCCGCTTGCTTTCTTCAGCGTCCAGCTGTTTTTTCTCCTGTTCTCGGATCTTTATCCTCTCTTCCACGAATGCCAGTCGCTTAACTTCTCGTTCGAAAAAGTTTTCCATTGCATTGGCCTACGAGACGTAAAAATAGAATCAACTCAGCTACATGGGTAAGACTGATCGGCCTACTTAATCAAATGATCAGACCAAATAACAAATATATGAGGCCTCGCACTGCCTCCTCTGGTAACCAACACATGAAGATGAACATATGTGTATCGTCTGGTACCCAAACGAGATGCCGGAAGGGGGGGGAGGGTAACTACTCTATTCTCACGAAAGGGAGAGGACACTTCAGATACGTGTAACAACAGTCTTGTAAAATACCTTTCTACATCAGCATCATCAGACATAGTACTAGCTTCAGCCTTCTATTACTTGAATACACACTCCTCGGCAAAAGTTCGAGGACGAAAATGGAGAAACAAGTTACCTCATTAGCGGATGGGTGCCTGAGATTCCAAGGAACTTCCATGACATGTAATGTTCCCATACCGTCACCGACAGCTAGAAGCTGCTGCTTACCTAACCAAACAAACATACAATCGTCACTAAACATGGAACAGAAGCGACAATGCCATTTGAAAACTGCCTTTGACAGTCCTTGAATAGAGCAATATCCAGATCAAGCGAGTAATACAGTGACTACAGCCGCCGACATATCTACGAGCTGGATGACAGATTTCTTTACTACTCATATCGATCGTCAGAGAAATTCAGTATCATGTGTAGAAAGTAATTTTGGATGAGTTGTCTTTTTCTTTTCTTCGCTCTGCTATCGGTATAGAAAATTCGTCACATCCTCTCCACCAATCAGATGTAAAAGTCACACCCATAGCCATTTCGTTACGCGCGTTTTCCAGCTAACGGAGCAGTTTGCCGTTTAACTTTGAGTTTAGCCTGCGTTGCTGGCGGTCTGCGGTTTTGGGGGCGGAGAGAAAAATGAAAGTCTTTCATTTTTCTCTCCGCCCCCAAAACCTTAGATCGCCAGTAACACAGGCTACTTTTAGTTATCATTGGCTCCTTATATTATTTTCTTTAGTTGTGATTTGCTGTTGTGATAGCTTTGATTATAGTTTTACAAGAAACGTTCTGTGAGTAACACTACAAGACATAAAGCAGTTAGGTGTTACAGCGACAACTACTGTCACACTTACTTGAAACCTGATGAGGTGAAATGGTCGTGATGGGAGCAGCAGTTACATTCTGAGTTAAAGACGGCTCGTGTGACCTAACAAAAGAGCACACATTTAAACACAATTTCCACCAAGTTATCAGAAAAAATCACAATTCTCCTCTAGCATCTTCATATTTTCTTAAGTGAGAGGTGCGGAGAATTTGATGTTAGATCCATACCTGTCTAGCAGGTCCCATACATCAACATTACCATCGGTCTTGGTGATGAAAAACACCCCTGGAAATGAAAATAACGGTCGAGAATAAAATGATGAATACCTAGTACACGAGGTTTGTGATCTAAAATTTTTTAACAGGTGATAAGTGCTTACAATGGATCGCAAACACTGTAACACGTTCAAAGCAGCTTCTTCATTCTAAATCACCCGTGTTCAGTTTAAGCTTTCCCTTACTTTTCTGAATCAGTACCACACATCAATCTCAACACAAATCACCAGTAACGTTACCTAATTCTGATTAGTTTTAGGCTTTAATCTCTCAACAAATTCTCCTTTTCAATCTTTGTTTCATTCACACCTTTTTTATATTGTTATACATGTCTGAGAGGTACTATACCTCCGCTACTTTCCCTGAAGGTACTCAGGTTTGTTACCTGGTCTTGATGGACTCCAATGTCCTCTTGTCAACCTCATTAAATGACTCGCTGATTGAAGAAGAGGACCATTCTGTACCCAAGAGAAAGAGAAAGAATGAAAGAAAGAAAGGGAGACACAAAGAAGAAAAAGAAGAGAGAGAGAAGCCATATGGACATGAGTGCCTGAACTCCAAAAGGTGATACCTCTTATTTTGTGTTTGCACTCCGAGTATATGAACAGCATCCTTTATCATTTCACTTCCATTTCTCTTTTAGTGTTTTAGTTTTTTTTTTTAAAGTTTACATTCTTCGACACCAAGAATGAATCAAACT